TGGAGACCGCAAATGCAGCACATACTACTCTTCTGGAAAACGAAGTGCAACAACTAAAAAAAAAAAAAAAAAAAATTATAAAAAAGGTACTGCAAAGCATTTGGCGACGACACACACACACACATACACACACACACACAGGTTGCCATCTTCGCAGGCGCAACGAGTGGAGAGACAGGCCACTAAAGCAACGGTGGACATTACTGGCAGCATCACTCATGGTCTCTCGCGGATGGCTTTTGCTATCTCCATAAGGGCGTGGCACATCATTTTGTTCGCCTCATCCGCCGCAGCATAATGTTTCCTCTGCACTTCCACTTCGCTCTCCAGGATTTCGCAGTGACATAACATCATCGAGCATTGTCGCTTGCTCGCATTGTCCATTGTGCTCGCCATGAGCGCACCATGCTTGTCCATGACCTCAACGACGGCCTCAAAGGTTTGTTGCCGCATGTTCTTCCTCTTTCCATAACCGTCGCCGCTCCCCGCGCTGAATGTGGAGTCTTTCGTTGACCCATGCTCCTCGTCGGCTGCCTCCCCTCCACCCTCAATGGCCATGGTGTCCCCTCCAGCCCCCGCGCCTGCCGGCATCTGAACCCCCCCCGCCGCCCCCGTGTCCGCCAAATTTTTCGGGTGGATCGTGTGATCCCCCTTCGTCATGACCTCCATTTCGTCGTACACGCTCCAGTCCATGACAAAGTTGAAGCCCTCCGATCGCCTGGCCTTTGAAGCAAGCTTGAAGTAGTCTTTCCCGCCGGAGAGGTTCAGGAACTTGTGGACCTTCTTGAATTGCTGCATCAAGTTGTCCCATTTCTTCCTGCAGTCGACGACCTCCCTCGTCACGCCCATCGACTGCAACCTCGCCCGCGCGTCCTCCCACTTCCACTCCCTCGTTTTCATACGGGCGAAACTGGTGCCCATGCCGGCGATATACAGATCTTGATCCCTTTTTGCCCTGATGAGTGCGATCGTGTCTCTGACCGACCAGAAATTTCGGTCGCCCTCACCAACGCTTCGGCCCGTGTCGTCATCCATTTTCTTGCTCCGTCGAGTTTCATAGCGGGACCCTTCCTCACAGTCGCTCCGCCGTTCATCGCCTTCCTCCCCAGCGGCCTAATGTCTGGCAAATCGTCGGAGTTGCAATTGTCGTCACCGTCAACGTCGTCACACCCCTGGGCCTCCTCAATAGCAGCTTCGTCCCCTTCGTCCACGTGGAGCCGTTGCACCCCTCTCGTGATTGTTTCCGTTCCACGTTGATGCAAGGCCTTCCTGCACTCTGCCCACAGCTGCCTGCCGTCGCGGTGCACGTCCGCACCTTCCTCACGCAAATCCTCCAGTCGATGCCGTCCAGGAGGAGTGTCGGATCCACTTCGCGACGCAAGTGACAACCGCATCCACTTCGGACATTCACGCGCACCGACTCCTCCGCCGACGGTCGACGTCGACTCATTCCGATTACCACCACCTTCACGAAGCGATTGAGGCAGACCGCCGTCTTGCGGCCCGCACACACCACCGTGCGTGTTGTCCGCGCAATCCACACCCGGGTGGGGATTGATGATCCGAGTGTGCGTTGTCGCTGCTCCGCTGCTGCTGGACAACTGGAAGCTGAGATCAACCGCTGCATTGTCGTCGTCGTCGCACAACCCCTCGTTCAGCAGTGACGTGTAAGACCACGGGGTCTCCACCCGCCTGCCGCCGTACGACTGCCTCGCCGCCCATTCCTGCGTCGAACCACTTCCCAACGGCAAAGTCGACGACCTGGCGTCTCCCCCCTCGTCATCCGACGGCCGCAGAGGAATCTCGTGAGAAGGCAGGTGTGCATACAACCTCGGGTCGTACGGCCGCTTCGCCACAGACCCCGCACTGTGTTGCCGATTGCTCGCTCCGGAGGTTGTGCCTGCCGGTCTGTCGTTGCCCACTCGTCGATCCATCCTGTCGGCTTTCTTCGAAGATCTCCTTCTGCGAGCCGCGAGCGGGACGAGGCCGACGATACACACATGGAAGAAGACAACGACGAGAAGCAGCATGACGACGAGGACCAGCAGAGGCAGCCTGTGCAGCAGGTCGGCCATGTAAGGGCCGTTCGAAGGGCTTCAGTGTGACGTCGGCGGTCGACCGTTCAACAAACAAGCCCGTCGACACAAGAAAGATCGGTGGAAGTTCTGTGCTCCAACGTGCGAGGCGTGACGACAATCGAAGAAAACGACGATCTTGTCCAATGAGACTATCGTCGTCGAAAGGGGCGCCGGGTGGGAAAAGCATTCGAATTTCGGACCGTTGTCGGCGATCGCCCGCCGCAGCAGACCTGACTGGACGCCGGCCGGCATTTCGCGTCGACGGACGGAGGCCTCCCGACGCCGGTTGCCGTTTGGAGCCGTTGGGGCGCCGTGCAGATTTTGGACGCAGGTTCGCGTCGACGGACGAAGGCCTCCTGACGCCGGTTGCTGTTTGGAGCCGTTGGGGCGCCGTGCAGATTTTGGACGCAGGGATGTCCGTGCTCCGGTTCGCTCGACCACGTCTGGACCACCCTCGAACCGAAATTGTGCGTCGACGCATGCCTTCGCCGCTCCGAAATTCGCGCTTCCTTGTGCTCTGAGGGACCTCGGGAGGTCCCTTGGGGGTTAGGAAAAAATTGGTTGTGGCCACAAGGACGCCACAAGGAAATCTCCTTCTGGTATTTTCACATTTTTTTTCGAGAATCGTCCCCAAGGACAGGTGGAACGATCATTTCCTTGTGGATTTCGGGTCCACAAGGAGTGTCTGACGAGGCCCATAGTATTGAAGCTTCGCACCAACGCAAAGTGGCCAACTAAATGGCCAACAAATGAATTAAAAAAAATTCTACTGGCCGATGGGCAGCTGCCTCCACGAAAACAAAGACAATCTACACTAGCAGTCGATATGCTATTGGATCAAAGACTGACGGATGTCACGGATGGCCGCACGTGATCGAAAACGGAGGAGCACAAGCGTAAATTGGACCTAGTCGGTCCTGGCTCCCGGGTCACTCTGATAGCCTAGTTTTGTAGCGTTTTTTTGCTTAATTTTTTAATGCCTCAAGCACGTCACACAGCATTATTCGTTTGAGTTTCAGAATGTGCAAGTTTAGGGGGGGGGTGAAACTGTGGCCATTTTTTTGAAGTGGCATGAATGGATATTTAGCAGTGGCCTTTTTGGCCCTGTTTCAAGAACTGCTAAAGTTGCCTATTCCAAACGCTAGGTGTGACCCAGGAGCATTGCCCCTTTTTTTGTTTGTTTTGTTTTGAGAAAAAGTGGCCCAGTGCAGACAAGCTGAGTGGAGTTTTAAACAGGAACTTCTATTATTATTCTTAATTAAAGGAAATCGGGGCCCAGTGCCCAAGGCCAAAACTAAAAATGGTACTAGTTCCAGATTCAGGGGAGAGTAAGGTCTCCAACCTACTTCATGAGGTGGAGCTACTCCCCTGTGACAGATCATATGAACGAAAAAACAGAGAAAGACAAAATGTTAACAAGCGACCTCAGGGTCACATCGAAATTCTGTACCAAATTTAAAATAAAAAAATGAAATAAAAAACAATGTAATTGAATTTATTAATTTTTATTTTTATATATTTTTTTGGCCCGGCCGGGCAAGTGGTCCCGGGGCCAGGACCGACTAGCATCGTTTAAAACGGGGTGTGGCGTTCTTTTCTCATTTAAAAACGCCATGGTTACGTCGGACCCGGACCCAGACATTTCCGGACATGGAACCGGGCCCATGTCCGGTAGTTTCCGGACGTCCGGAATTCCGGACATTTCCGGACCTCAGGACATGGGGGGATCCGGACGGTCCAGATGTCTAGACAGGTCCGGAAATGTCCGGACCATTGAAAAAAAAAAAAAAAATCTGAAAAAAAAGTATGCTATGCAGAATAACAATGCAAACCACTTTTGCCTCAGAGTCATGTCAGAATTCCTAACCAAACTTGAGTTACAAGTCAAAAACTATAAAGAAGCTTTAAAAAAGACTTTAAAAACTAATAAAAGGTAATGAATTATTAGTAATTAAAAAATTGGGGTTGTCTAATAAATTATAATAGAGAGAGAGCATGTCCGGACCTCCCAAAAAAGCATAAACGGGCCTAAAAAAAAACCAAAACAATTTTGGGGGCTTGGCTCCTCACTGGGGAAGGGTCCTGGACCGTTTTTTTTTTCTTTTTTTTTCCTCGAATTTTGGCAGATCCTGACCGTCCAGACCGGACGTCTGGAGTCTGGACTGAATCCCGACCGTCTGGACGGCGGTCCGGACGTCCGGATCATAGCCATGAAAAATGCATAAACAATGCTATTTTTCATTAAGGCAGTAGCAAAGAAAAGCACCCAAAAACGAAAAATCACGGGACCTGACATCAACATCATGACAGTACACGCTCTGCATCCACACTTCCACCAACCCGGTACATCTGCATGCGACCTTCCCGCCGGTCTGTTCACAGTCTTCCACTGAAATCTGAATATTCTCAATTTCTGCAAAAAAAAAAATAGCAAGGCGCAAAGCTTCAAAAACACCCCCCGCCCAAAGAAACCATAGTATTGAAGCTTCGCGCCAACGCAAAGTGACCAACTAAATGGCCAACAAATGAATTTAAAAAAATTATACTGGCCGATGGGCAGCTGCCTCCACGAAAACAAAGACAATCCACACTAGCAGTCGATCTGCTATTGGATCAAAGACTGATGGATGTCACGGACGGCCGCACGTGATCCAAAACGGAGGAGCACAAGCGTAAATTGGACCTAGCCCGTCCTGGCTCCCGGGTCACTCTGATAGCCTAGTTTTGTAGTGTTTCTTTTGCTTTTTTAATCATTTTTTAATGCTATCAAGCACGTCACACAGCATTATTCTTTTGTATCAACTCCTGCTACTGGGAGGAGGCCCCTGAAACTATTCTTCTTCTTCTTCTTCTTCTTCTTCTTCTTCTTCTTCTCTGTTTTTTTTGGGGGGAAACTGCTCCTCAGTCACCTGCAAGAAAAGACAAAGTGGCTCCTATGTTTTTTTTTTGTTTTTTTTTTTTTCCTTCTGATGATGGTCTTAGCGGGATCACAGGATCCACATTAGTCCAGTCATGAAAATGTAATTGATAGATCCTTCTGGATTCTGGTTGCCCCCCTTTCACCTTCACTCATTTCACTTCCTTCCACTTTATCACTCCCACCTTTCCTTCCTTGGTACCCCCCAGCCAGTCGCTGCTGAATTGTTGAATGTGACGGTCAATTTCTGATTGGATCGAAAGATGTTGAATCTTTTCTTTGACTTTATCCCATTGAGCCAATATCTCTGTTTGAATCTGTTGCTTTATTGAATCCATGAATTCAGGGCTTTCCAGCCTAACTCCTTCCATCTCATTCGTGCATCGCCTGTGCCAAAGAGCCCATAAGATTGCTCTCCTCCCAACTTGATAGAGATTTTGAGTGAAATCATCCATGTTTCACATAGAAGGGCTTTCCAATCCCATGGCCAAGGGTATGAACTACTATGAAGATGTTAGTTGACTCCAAATCCTATCCCACCACCTCCATAACCATACCGCACTGGGACACTGTAGAAAAATGTGTTCTATGGTTTTGTAATGGTTTGAGTTTCAGAATGTGCAAGTTTAGGGGGGGGTTGAAACTGTGGCCATTTTTTTGAAGTGGCATGAATGGATATTTAGCAGTGGCTTTTTTGGCCCTGTTTCGAGAACTGCTAAGGTTGCCTATTCCAAACGCTACCTTCTTCGCCCGAATACAACGTACGGTCATTATAGCTGTATTTAGACGGAAAGATACCCCAAATACAGCTAGAATGACCGTGCGTTGTATTCGGGGGAAGAAGGTAGGTGTGACCCAGGAGCCATTGCCCCTTTTTTTGTTTGTTTTGTTTTTGAGAAAAAGTGGCCCAGTGCAGACAAGCTGAGTGGAGTTTTCCCATATCTGAGACACTTGCAGCCTGTCAAGCTTACAGCTTTACTTGTTTGTTTTTTTGCTTGCTTGCTTGTTTGTTTTTTTGCTTGCTTGCCTTGCTTGTTTGTTTGTTTGTTTGTCCTCTGTTCCTGTTTGGTTCGGGCAAAGTGCGGACACAGCCTGGACAGAATGCACCTGGGCGCCTGGAAGATCCAGGTTCAGATCATATCCTTGGCAGCCGCATGTCCAGGTGCATTCTGCCCATGCTACTTTGGAAGTTTTGGGGGCTGTGTTTTTTGTTTTTTTTGTTTTATTCAAACAACAAACCGCAGCCAGACGTTGGCAAGTGGTGCGGCGAAGCCCGAAACCTGTCTGTATAATACTGGAGCTGCAATAGATTTGGTGCATCCGGATCACCTCCCAAAAACTGGGGTTGGAATGCTATCATACGCAATGACAGATATCTGACAGTCCCTGCTTGGGAGAGACAGTGCTTGTCTGAAGTCAGCATGCCGGTGGCTAAAGGGTGGACCCCACTGGCCGGTGTCGTGGAAAAGAATTGGCACCGGATCTTTTTCGACACCGCACCGGTGTGGAAAACCGGCATGGAAAGTCATTCTGGACAGCGCTTTTTGGACCCAACTGGTTATGGAAAGAGGTTGCCGAAATGCTGATGGGGCGATTCTACACGGTCGGCGGTCTGGAAAATTGCGGCCAAGTTCCGGCATTCCTTTTCCAAAGAGGGCGAAAAGGGCGTCCAGCCGACTAGGGGGGGTGGCATTTTCTCCGATGGCATCGGAGGAGATGAGAGTGTGGTCCAATCGACGGTTGAGGGGCCGTTTTGTGATGGACAGTCCTTACTGAACTTACCTATGCGGGAGGGATGCCTTCGGGTTTTCCTTTTCGAGGAGGTGGTGCCGTTTCCAGTGCCCGTTTTTGCGGCGGTGGTGGGGTCCCGAGGAAAACTGGCAAATGATTTCCAGACTCAGTCGGGCGTTTCTTGTGGCCATACTGCTTTTCCAGCCGCCGGCCCGTGGGGTCCACCCCTAAAGGGTCTCGCTCCTTTTTTTTTTTTTTTTTTTCTCT